TTATTAGCTTAATATACCCTGCCACCTCTGTTTTTCCCTGGCTCTGTGGGGACACGCTTCTGGAAGAGGAAGGCTGTGTCAGAGGTGGTGGCAAGTGTGAAGTAAATTCTAAACCTGGAAATTTTGAGGATCCGTATTTGAATGCTCTCTAGAGAATTTCTATACCAGCTTTTAATACGTGCAATTTGTACAACAGTTTGCCCTCCCTCTAGTCGTCTTTGGTGAAGTACATGGCCTGAGAGAGCTTTGCAATTTTTGCTGATGTTGTCAAACAGTTAAACACATGCTTAGGGAAACATCTCCCGCTTTCCCAGGCTCGACTACACTTTATTGCCTCTCCTCCCTGCTGCATAGTCTCAGCTTCACTTGTTTTATTCTCTATAACAATCAGTCTCTCCTAATCCCTTTGAGGTACTGGGTGGCACAGGAGGTTGGGGTCACTGTGTAAAGGTTTCTTTCTGCCAGTCCTTGCCTTTTAGTTTTTTTTTCCTCTGGTGCTCCTTTCTTCTTGCTGCTTCTCTGCTCCTACATGAGTTCTTGATTGGCTGCAGTCCTTTCAGCGTTGTCCCTGCTCTGGCATGGGTCCTCCATGGGCTGCAATTGCCTCAAAGTGTACTCCTTCTGCCATGGAGCACCTCTTTCCAAGACTACTTTTCCAGCTACGTCCCCAACAATGTCCCCTACCACATCTTCTTTTCTCCAAATGTGTCTTTTTGCATATGTTGCATTTCTCCTTCTGTGCATCCTCACGTGTCTCCTTTTTGTGGTTCCTTTTATGTGTCTCCTGCCCCTACTAGCTATTGCCCTTTCCAAAATACGTTTGAGCAAAGGTAGCTTGTGCTCATTTGACTGGTTGAGGTTTTGATGGATTGTTGTTTTCATCCATTTTGGAGATGGCTGGAATCAACTGTGACTGGCATGGGGCTGTTCATGGCATCCTCTTACACAGATTACCCCTGCAGACCTCCGCTGCTGAAGCACAATAGTGCTCTGTCAGACTGCTCAGACTGTGTAAATTCTTGACTTTCATGGAAGCACAACAAAGCTAAATTTGCTCCATAACATTTGTTATATCTGGTTGAGAATCCATTGGAAATAGTTTTGCAAGGATGACCCATATTTGAGCCAGTGTCTGGAGAATTTCCATGTGCTCAAATTGTCAGTATAGCCCAATATGTACCCTTTAAAAGTTTGCCTGAAATTCTCCACATCCACTTCTTCTCAAGGCTATTTTTTTCTCTCTCTTCCATTAACTCATTCCCCTTGCCCCTCAAAGGGTCCTCTTGGTGCACATAAATTTTTTTTCTTGTTTCTTTATAGATAATGGGGTTTGAGCACCTGGTTTTGTTCTGCAAATTTCCCACTTCTGACGTGTGTCAAACTGTCCTTCTGAAATTTCGTATATGCTGGCATCTGTGCAAGAAGAATCACTTCTGCTGTTTCTTACCTTTCAACATGGTTCCATGTCCAACAGATGGAGGCTTTGAAAAGCCATAAATATTTTTCTTGGCAGTAGAAAAAGGTGGTATGGGTATATGTTGCTAGTAGTTGGTCTCAGCTTTGTAAAAATGGTTACATTGGTTGGAAAAGCAGCCAGGTGGAAGGTAGCGTAACAGCATCTGCTCCCATCAACTCTCCTGGGCATGTCACCGTGCTAATGCTGAAACTGTGGGAACTGAAGAGGTTGGTGGGTACATGCTGGGTGGGCATTGTTTTTCTGGCACAGAAGATAATTCCTAATTTCCATATAGAGGAGCTGGAGCTGTTCTTTTCTCAGCTACAGACCTGATTCTTATCCCAGGGGAATAAGGAGATCTTCTGTAATGACACCGATAGGAAAAGACTAAGATCTGTAAATGTGAAATGCTTTCCCATCCCTATGTGTGCTTTGGTTATGTTTCATGAACATGGCCTAAATGCAATCATGGATGTTTACATTCTTCTGTTTCAGAAACAGATGGAATTAGGAGCTTTGCTAGCCCTTCTCTAAAGAGTTGGGTGGTCAATCTCTAGCATAGAGTTCTTCCTTGCATTCATTTTTTTCATGGTTGAGTTAAACAAGGGTTTAAAATAAAAACAAGTGGTAACTTTTTCATGGAATATTAAACTACTGGAATAAATGTTGCATCTATTTTCACTGCTTGCTTTTTTGATGTCTGTGGTGTCCTAATGTACAAGTTCTCCATTTAGCCCATAAACTTTCCATAGAAAATACTGGGTTTTCTATAATTTTGTTATAAATAAACTTCACAAGAGCTGTGGCTTTGCTTTCCAGTTTATTCCTGCTTCATTCCTCAAACACTTGCAGCCCTATAAGATGTCCCACAGCCTTGCACTTCCCACTCCCAATTTTTTAATGAGATACTGTATCACTACTAGTGTGGTCACCACAAATGTATTATTTGCAGAGCCTGCTCTTTCTGTCATGTTTTTTGTCTTGAATCAGCCTAGAATTCAGATGTGTAGTTGCTGCTTTTCTGTTTCTGCTCTTTATTCCTGTGTCTCCAGGAAGAGAATAAAATCTGCGTGTCTGCTTAGATCTGATACATGGGAGCTAGTGTATGGAACCTGCATAGTCTGCCTCATGTCTTGGTGTCCATTCTCAAACAGTTCTGTGGTGCAAGCCATGAATCCGGTCTAAGCTTGCTTCTCCTGTTCACTGCTGAAGTTGTCAGTAGCTCAGCCTTCTGTGCTTCTCCTTCTGATTTTTAAATCCTGGACCTGAGTCATCTGCAGCTTCCTGCTCTCACTCCAAGCAATTTCAAATTCTGTACCAGTGACCCTGTACCTTCACATTTCGTTAGCCATTTCATTCATATTGCTGTTAATACCATTTCCCTCATCTGTCACCATGATCATCTTTTCTTTGCATCTCTGCATTGATCTCTCCTCTTGCACTGAACAGAAAGCTACTTGTCTTCATTTCACTTGGCCCTGAAGGGCCTAATCTCACTGTGTCATCTCTTAAAAGCAAGGTGTAAAACCTAACTGTCTTCAGCCTGCAATGTGCTTGTTCCATAATCGGACAAGGATTCCTTCACCTCTCCCAGCCAGTGCCCCACCTTCCTGTTTATGGGCACTCCCCAAAAATTCCACAAAGCTAAGTTTCCTTCTCTATATCTCTTCTGAAGAATGATCCTTTTTTGGGGTATCTGCAAGAGGCTGAAAGCACTTTTAATTCACTGTATCATGTCATACTGATAAATTCTGTGTAACTATTTCCATGTACTTCCCCATTGTTGTTTATTTTCTTGTACTTAAAGTCACAGAATGACAGACCCGTTTAGGTTGGAAGGGATCTCTTCAGATTGTCTAGTCTGGCCCTACTGCTCAAGCAGGGCCAGCTACAACAGGTTGCCCAGGATTGTGTCCAGACAGGTTTTGAGTATCTCCAAGGATGGAGACTCTGCAACCTCTCTGGGCAGCCTGTGCCAGTGTTTCACCACCTTTACAGTAAAAAAGTTTTGTGTTTCTTTTCCCTCCCTTCCTCCCCCCCGCCTTGTTTTCAAATGGAATTTCATGTGTTTTAGTTTGTGCCCAATGTCTCTTGTCCTCTCACTGGGCACTATTGAGAGGAGGCTGGCTCCCTCTTCTTCATTGCCTCCTCAGGTATTTATATGCATTGATAAAACTCCTCCTGAGTCTTCTCCAGGCCGAACAGTCCCAGCTCTCTCAGCCTTTCCTCTGAGAGAGAAATGAAAGATTCCCCAGTCTCTTAATCATTTTTGTGGACCTTTTGCTGGACTCACTCCAGTATGTACACATCTTTCTTGTGCCAAGGAGTCCAGAGCTGGTTGCAGTACTCCAGATGTTGCCCCACCAGTGCTGAGCAGAGATGAAGGATCACCTCCCTTGACCTGTTGGCAACTATCCTCCTAACGCAGCCTGGGATACTGTTGGCTGCCTTTGCCTCGAGGGTGCATTGCTGGCTCATTGTCAGCTCTTTGTCAACCAGGACCCCCAAGTCCTTTTCTGCAAAGCTGCTTTCCAGATGGTTAGATACAGATACTGGTGCTTGGGGTCATTTTTCCCCAGGCGCAGGACTTCGCATTTTCCTTTGTTGAACTTCATGAGATTCCTGTCAGCCCATTTCTATAGTCAAGGTCCTTCTGAATGGCAGCATAGCTGTCTGGTGTATCAGCCTCTTCACAGTTTTGTATTGTCTGTGAACTTGCTGAGGGTGCACTATGTCCAGGTCATTAATGAAGGTGTTGAACAGTATTCGCCCCAGTACACCACTAGAGACTTGCCTCTAACTGGACTTTTTGCCACCAGTTAAAGTCCTCTGGGCCTGTCCATTCAGCCACTTTTCAGTCCATCTCCTTGTCTGCTTATCTAACCTGTATTTTGTCAGGTTGTCTATGAGGATGTTATGGGAGACACTGTCAAAAGCCTTACTAGAGTCACAATATAGTACAGCTCTGTACTCATCCACCAAGATAGTCACCTCACTGTAGAAACTATCAGGTTGGTCAAGTATGATTTCCCATTTGTAAATCCATGTGGACTACTTCAAATCACCTTCTTGTCTTTCATGTATCTGGAAATAGTTTCCAGGATTACGTGTTCCATCACCTTCCAGGGATTGAGGTGAGGCTGACTGGCCTGCTGTTTCCTGGATCTTCCTTCTTGCCTTTCTGAATGTTTTGGGGCAAATGGCTTTCCTTTTTCTTGTTTGTTTGTACTGCCGATCTTGATTCATGTTCACAGATTCTACACACTGTGGTAGTGCAATTATTAAGCAAAGCATATGATTCTCCTTTTTATTGGTAATTTTAAGCTATACAGATGCAAACTGGGAAATAGGATTTGCAGCCCAAAGTTCTGCTCCTAAAACTCAGACCTCTACCATGTGAACTAATGAGTACCTTTCCAAGAGAGAAAATAGGGTGCCAGAGTATCATCCCACTGTTGATCTCTATAGATAGATAAAGATTGTGCATCTTTTCCCTGGGATCATAGCTTTCTAAACTTGTATTTGCATTATTTCTCTGTTCCAGGCCGAAATGAGCTGATTGCCCGCTATATTAAGCTGAGAACAGGGAAAACACGCACAAGGAAACAGGTAAGTGTGAAGTTTTCCCTGTAAAGGTTAGCTTCTTTGGACCACTAGACATGATGAGGGCTTATGAGAACAAATCCCTTGCTGTTCACTTGCTATTGGTTTCTGGCTTTGCTGGAAAGAGGTGTTTGTGCTGAGATGGTTAATAAGAACGGTGGGAAGAGTCAGCTCAGGCATTTTACAGTAGGATTGTAATGCTCATGTCTGCCAACCACATCGTGACACACAAATTTTTGTACTGTTAAACGGTGTGTGATTTTTATTTGTTTGGTGTACTAATGAACTTTTCAGTGAACATCAGTGGTCCTCTATGTGAAGATTCTTTGTTCAGCCCAGACAGATGGACAGCAATTGTGATTTTGAAAACACCTGGCACACAGGATTCCTTTTTAGGAATCTTTGTAATTTGGGAATGACAGTGCAGGCTATGCTGGACAAAGCACTGAGCAACCTAGACCTGCTTTGGGTAGGGGGTTGGTGGATGACATCCAGAAGTTCCTTCCGACCTGAATCATTCTATGATGCGTTTCAGCCCACATTAGATATAGGGAAGTTCTGAGAGTCATCATTATTGGCCAGGGATATGGAACATGGGTTTCCCTTCTCCCAAGAGGAGGCCAAGATGGGGAGCAAAGAGATCAGGACTCTCAATGCCTAGATTTAAGGATGGGTTCTTTAGTTTTAGAGGAGGTCTCTGGCTTGATAAAGCCATTTGAATTGGAAAAGGCCTTAAACAGCCCGTCTTTGCTGGTCCCCCACTTCATTTCATGACACTTAAGTTACATTCAGAAAAGCATCTCATTGCTGCCTCAACCCCGCCTCCCCTAACCCTAAATAACTCCCTGTTCCACAAGGTGCCTGAAGCATGTTTACTTCTGCAAGTAGCTACCAAGTACTCCTCTGGAATGAAGATGGATTTTGTCTTTTAATGCAGGTATCCAGTCACATCCAGGTCCTGGCAAGACGGAAAGCTAGAGAGATCCAAGCCAAGCTCAAGGTATGATGGGTATCCTTTAAAATATCACATAAGCCCCCTGAGTCAGCCATTCTCTCATCCATTCCATCTTTGAATAGCCTTAAAAAAGGGTGAGATTAGCTGCTGAACTGTAGTAAGCTGGGGAGGAAAAAGTACTTCCCAGGAAGTGTTGTGCAAACACTTGTATTGTTGTAGCTCTGTGACGTCTGGAGCAATTCTATTTAAAGAATAAAGAAACAATGACTTTAATTTTTATGTGTCTGATTTCTACCTCCGGTTTGTGCTGCTGTCATCCAAGTCTGAAAGACCCTTAGACTTGGGAGTATGTGAAGAGGGTTTACCTGAGAAGGATGGGTTTATGGTTACAAATGCTGACAAGTAATCAGTCCCTGATGTTGTGGTGGCCTTGGGAAAGGGTAGCCTTACAGTTACTGCAGTACTAGTTCCACCTCTACTAGTGGTAGTGATGTGGAGTTGGAGTCGTCCATGAGAGAGTGTTCTGAGTTGGCATAACGACTGAGAGGAAGCAATAAAGCCAGCTGGCATTGTCTCAGCTAAAATGGTGCCAGCTGACTAGACTTTGCCCCTTGATTAATTCAGACCTAATTTGAAGAGGCCTGGGCTAATGAGAAAGAAAATGGTTGACTACTTGCTTGAGCAAATCTGTGTTTTCCTTTCTATAGGAAGAGCTCTGAGTTCATGCTAAAGAACTGATACCTCTTGACATTTATTTCCACTCCGATTTGAAGCAGGGAGCTGGTTTATGTGCTCAGACTGAATTGTCAGAAATGTCAAGAAGGTCAAGTTTATGGGTGACAATTTCACAAGAGGGTATCTATCACCTGTTAGAATGTGAGCCATCCAGAAAGGGCTTGCTGAGCCGAATGTGAGGTCCGGTCCTTGTTATGCATCACTGAGGCAGTCAGAGAAGAAAGGTGCATGCTGACCTTCCTGATTTGGTATGGCAATAAGTGATCTGGAGGGAAGTGTGTTTGCTTCCCTGATCTTCCATGCTTCAGTTGATGATGAGGATCTTGACAGCCCAGTCCAGTGCTGACTGTTGAGTGGACAGCTGTTAGTGCTCCCTTTTGGCTGTCTGGGCAGCTCCTTGCTGGCAGCAGAAGTGGACTGTCTGTGAGTGAACTGTTGGCACTCAATCTTGAGCAGTGCTGAAGTGCATGCATCTCTGTTGCAAGCAGTGATTAACTCTAAGTCATGACTGCACCCCCCACATCCCGATCCCCAGGTCCATTTTAGAAAATGGTGTTGTGTCTGTCATTAGCCTGTTATGTTTCCAGCTGCTCTGATAAAGAGAAGGAGCCACAAATTACAACTATCAAATTCAGTGCTTCTAGGTAGGGCTGCCTAAGCTTGAAACCTGTGGTGCTGTTAAGTGGTCAATTCAGGTGGAGGCCTGCTTCAGAGGCAAGTTAGAGCGAGTAGGAAAAAACAACTGTCCGGGGTGTTAAAAGATTTACTGCTGCTTATATCTGTACCCTTGATTCCGTTCCTTGCATGTCACAGCTCTGGGATTTGGCATGATTGAAAAGCCAGTCAGCCGAGCCTGTTTCCACTTAGCACACAGGAGCTGGCCGTTTTTTTTCTCAGGGAACGAAGGTGTCTCAGGGAGCTCCATGGAACCATTGGTTGTTCTCCTTTTACACCACCCCAGGCCATGCTTGAGCTCTGCCCAGCTGCCTGCAGTGAACCATTCCCCAGTACCAGACTGTTCCTTTCTGCCTGCAGAGCTATATCTGTAGCACTGATTCAACTCATTTACTTCTTTTCTTTCACTAGTCATTTTCATAGAGCAAGGAAATGAAATCACAAAAGCTGCTGCCCTTCTTCCAAGTTCAGCTGTGTGTTGTTCTATCACTGTTCATTTTCCATAGCGAGCATACGTTTTCATATTTATATCCTAGAGATCAGAGCAGCTACACGCTGACTTTTCAGAGCAATTACTATAATACTACTGTCTCCACACAAATTGGGGTGTCTTCTCTAAGTGTGCACTGTGCCTGTAACAGATAGAGGTGGGAAAGTAGGGTAAAGCTTGGAGAAAAATCTGTTCCCAGAAGTCAGTAGTTTTTAGTGTCATGGGTGGCTAATAGATATTGCCTGTAACTAAGGAAAAAGAGGGAAATTGTGGTGGTATTATTATTATTATGCATTTTGAGAATAATAAAAGAAAATGCAAACATTGCAAATGTTTGGTAAAAGTTTTTGTTGCTTCATTTTTCTTTTTTTTTTTTTACTGGAAACACAATACAAATCAATGCAGAACTGTTAGCTGAAAGAGAAGGGAGGTATCTTTTACAAAAATATGCTTTTTCCAGTAGTCTGTCAGGCATTTAAACAAAACAGAAAAACACAACAGGGTTATTCGGGTTTTTTTTTACTTTAATACAGGTAGACACATACGATTTTTCCAGTGAGAAAGTAAGGGGAGGAAAAAAATCTTTTTCTGTGATGGCAACTGGGAAATGGTCCTTATGAATGTCATTTAAAAAAAAAAAAACAAACCACAAAAGAATCCTTACCCTTAAAAAATGTAGGTAATCCTTAAGGTATTCCCTAAAACATCATTTAAACTGGATTCTGAAAAACTTTCCCATAGCTTTGGGGAATCTTAGGAACTTTCTCAGCAATTAAAATGTTTCCCTTCCATTCACTTGAATGGTACTAACAGGAGTCACAGCTACTGTAAGAAAGAAGATAGGTAAGTATTGCCCATTGCTACTGATCATTCCACTTAAATGTTATCATTCATTCTTGAGCTTTTGTTGTGCTCCTCCAAATGTTTTTGTTAGACACATCAGAATCCATGGGCTTTGAACTTTAGAAAACCTTTGAGAAAGCGGAGGGGTTAGACAGAATGGAGACCCAAGGGTGAGAACTTACTGGAGTTCAATGAATGCAAGTGGGAAGTGAGGATTCCTGAAGAAGACAGAAAGAGCTTACCTCTTTCAGCAGTCTCTCCAAGCCATGAATTTATCTGTGGCATTGCCATTATAATTATGTCACAGATAAATGTGGAGTGTTTGAAGGATGAAGGTTAATTGTAGGAGATGCAGGAGGAAAGGCAGAATGTGGGGAAGTGCTTCTGTTTGTCTATTCCTTGGAAGAAGAAATGAAGAATGTTATTTGTTTTAAACGAGCATCAGATGCCCTAGTTGTTGCACTGTCATTGCCTGTAAAAATGTGTGCAATTCCACAGCCCTGCTAAAATACAAAAAGGAATGTCTTTGCATATGTGCCCTGGGAGGTTATTAAGATCTCCTGTTTCTCCAGGGATGTGAATAAAATTATCAACTCTATCTTGAAACTAACGCAATCCCAAATTGAGGTAGTCTTTTTGCAGTGATGATGACAAACTCCTTTTGTGAGCTTATTTTTAGAGGGGTTTTTTGATAAGCAAGAGTCTTTCCCATTTAATATTCTTACCAATGATTAAAACACAAGAGTCAATTAGGATTGTACTTTTCGTAACAAAACATTTCAGCTGTGCAGCTGAAAGCCTTCAGACAGAAAGGATAAATGCTTAGCAGTCTCTAAACCAGTGATCCCAGCATTTCAGAAAGGATGATTAATCACATCTGAAGCTATAGTAATGAGTGAAAGACTTACATGCTTTGAAGAGTTCTTAGGACAGTTATTGGTGAGTCTGCTGTCCAGGTTTTCAGAGATGCTTCTTCCCTTCAAAGAAGCTGGTGAGAATCCTGGTTATGCAGTATTAGACCAGGCAATTTGTTTTTCATTATAATAATTCTGTTTTTCCTGTTTCTACTCTTGCCCATAGGATCAGGCAGCTAAAGATAAAGCCATGCAGAGTATGGCTACAATGTCATCTGCCCAGATTATCTCTGCAACTGCCTTCCATAGTAAAA